TATCCTAGTTTTCTCCTTAGTTCATTAATTCTCAAATGTTTTCCAGACCTGCTTGAGAGCATATTTTTGTCTTTGCTTTCTTCTAATTTCTTAAAGGGCAGAAAATATTCTTCTAATGCCTCCTTCCTTCTACTTACAGTGTAGGACAATTTGTTTTTTAAGGATCTATTTTTAGGTTTATGACATACATTTGTACTCATCTCTTATACAGCTCTTTGCAAAGGAATTCAGGAAGTTAAAGCATAGGTATATAAATTGTCTTCTTCAGGTCATCCAGCTGCAAAGCTAATTCCTCTGAATTTCAATCCAAGACTGTCCTTCAGGCAGTGCCTCCCTCTTTTTACATGTACAGTTGCGATACTTGGTGCAGTAATAACTTGCATCAGGCAAATAAACGCCCAGACCAGAAGACTCCAGCCTACAAACATGCACTCCCAGGAACTGGTACAGACTTATGGAACCGACTCAGGGTAGGTGGGAAAAACCTCTGCAGCAGATTGATCAATCCTTTTGCAGCTCCAGTGAGGTCACTGGAATGGGTCCAACAAGCAGGGAAGTTGGGGCAGTTGAGGCAATTTTCCAAGTGATCACGTGGGAGCCAGAAAAAAGGGAAATATTGCATTTTCTCCATAAGAAGAAACATTCTTTACACAGCCAGGCTTAGACAGAGTTGGCTCTGTTTCATAACATTTCATATCTTTCATTGTTTTATGTGCACTACATGTTTTAAGAATTGGATAACAATGGCTTTATGGAAATTAAAGGAAGTTAAATAGATATTGCACTTTTTAAAAAGTTCTCGTAGCCGGTCCAGCTGGTGTAGTTTCTTTTTACCCTTGGGCCAGACCTTTGAAAACCTCAGCATGTGCTATATAAGCCAAGACCATAACCTGGTATACTCAAGGCCCGCTGGGCATATATGTGTATATGTGTTTGATCATTTGTGTTGTAATTACATGCTGTGTTCAGGCCACATTCCCTTTGCTTGTGCCGTCCAAGCCAAAAATGTCAAACAAGTGTTACTGTCAGAGGTGGAATCCCAGAAGTTGCTCGAGAAGGGAGTGCCTGGCTGTAAGGATGCAATGTGAGATGGGGGAGGAAGAGAGGCAAATAAGGTGAAAAGGTGTGGGGATGCAATGCATGCCCTAATCTCCAAGGCACTCATCCTTCGCCCACACGGCAAGATGACTAGGAACCTGATATGTAGCAAATAATCACAGAGTATAGAATATGTTAAACATTGCTTCCTTGTAAAAGGACTGGCTGGCTTTCTAGCAACAGCCAGTCTCTCTTTCTCATCTACATAGTCCTCCCCCTTCTGGCACTGGAGAGCTGCCAGCCTGCTGTAGCTAAGCCCGCAAGCAGAAGCAGCCTGCAAAAGTTGCTCGTGTAGCAGCTGCTCCATCAAACTCACAATCTCAGTTGCCACAACACTAGAGCAAATACTAAAAGTTTGCACTGTTGTGGGGAAATCAAGGAGGATAGGCCTTCTGTTCTTCCAAGTAATTCCTTCTGCAGAAAGCCTCGAAGAAGAACAAACTGTTCCCCTGGTGTTATGGAACAACCGTTTGACTTTCATCGAGCACTAGAGACTGGGTACAAAATAATGCATGTGGACCAGATAGATCTAGATGCGATTGTAATATTGCTTTTGAGGTCTGAAGGCACAGCACAGCCATTTCCCAAAAGCATGAAACCTCAGTGGTGCTAATATAGCTAATACATCCTTTTCCCACTGATGGGTAGAAAGAGTTTTACCTTCTTGTTTCGTGACTTTCAACATCTCCTTTTCCAGCCTCGACTGAGGGGTGACCTTACCATTGCAGCTGCTTCCCCACTGTCCAAGAAGCCACAACCACAAGAAATCGTACTGCATCTTCACTCCCTGAGCAACCATATAGCAAGCATGCTACTGTTTGTGTGCTGTTTATTTGAATCAGGAAGCCCTTACAGCAAATGAACTACAGCCAGCTGAGATGAGACGTGCTAAGGATTGCCTTAGGGTTTCTCCTCAGGGAACAGGCAATTCTTATAATGCAGATCTGAAGCTAACTTCTGCTCTCCAATGTATTCGTAACTCATCAGAGCAGTTTGATGAAAGCAACTGGGTGGCAAGCAGTGACACTGTCTCCTGTTACCACAGCTGCATGGGTTTTTTTGGTTTTTTGTTTGTTTGTTTGTTCGTTTGTTTCATCAAAGAGCAGGATTTGTTGCTTGCTTTCTCCAGCAAAAACACCTCTTAAGATCTGGAATTCTTATTTGGGACCTTCAGAAATTAATATGACCTCACCTCTACCATTGCATAGGGAATATCACTCAGTAGAGACCTAACATTACCTTTTCTCCCTAGACAGATGCTTCACAAAATCTGAGAGGGTAATACCATACAGCTAAGCCTACAAGAGGCTCAAGGAAACCTGAGATGGTGACAAGCAAATTATTTCATCACCACTCAGGATCTTTTCTTTATTACTCTGAACATATTCATCCTAGGGACCAAGCTTTGCCTGTGACTTCTGGACCAATGTCCTCAGCTGCATCTAGGCAGGCTGAGGAGTGTGTGAGATTTTTAAAGCAAATGGCTGAGGCAGTAAAAAAAAAAAAAAAAAAAAGCAGTCGGTTTTCCTGCCAGAAATGCTTTTTTTTTCCATTCATTGATGCTCATAAAAGCAAAGGGAAAAGGGAGGTGGCAGTCTGGAGTTCCCACTCAGCAGTCAGCACAAGTATGTTCATCTTTCCTCAGGTCTGACTTTTTTTTTTGAGCCAAAGCTTAAATACTTGGTTACAAGGGCTGGGCATCCAAGGCTGCCCCGCTGCCCCCTAATGAAAAAAAAGTAAAAGCTAGACCTTGTTTTATCTAATATTGATGGTTCATTTCTATTGCAAACAAAACAACTGTTGGTAATTAAAGCAGGACCCTTTGTCCTACTGTTTTGTAAATAATTTGGACTACTAGTCAACATGGAGATAATATGCAGATCTGTCTTTCATTTCCATCAGACCAGATGCTGATCTGTCTTTGCTTTTCCATTGCAAAACTCAGATCAGGAGTTGGGTAAGACAAATGACTGAGGTTTAACCCAGACAAGACTTAGTTGTCATTTGTGGAGGGAGGAAAGAGCTCTGAGTGTGCAGAAGGGTGTGTCGTGCCTCGGTACTCAAATTTCCTCTTAAGTTTCTAAGCAATTCAAAAATTAGGACAGTGCTTTGGCCCTCTAGATACTGCAGATTAGGATGGGATTGGTTGGGCTGACACATAGATAGTTTAGGGGAGTGGAGGTTCTCTGAAGCAGCTATTGTTGAAGGAGTCATGCCTCTAAAACATATTTGGAGCTGAATAGTCCCAGCAGCTGTGGAGAAGAAATCTGGTTTCCTCCTCAGCAGATGTCTGTATACAATATTTGTGAGAACTGAACTCCTTATCACAACAGGGAATGAATCTTCTCTTCCCTCTGAAGTCTCCAAAAACAAGCTCTAGAGCTTCCAGCTTGACAACAATCTGCTTTCCCAAAAGGCACAATAGAGTTCTGATGTTTTCCTTTAAATATTCATGGTGATTAAAATTGGACTTTAATAGTTGCATGGATTCCTTTTAGGGTTGTGTTGTTGCTGTTTAATTAAAATAAGTGTGTGAGAAAAAGTGAAGAACATCCTTAAATTACATAGTGATTATTCCATGGAAATGAACTCCTTTCTTTTTGCTATTTTTCCATTTCATAGGTAAGGTGGCCTCATTCTTCCAAAAGGTAGGGTGGTTTTTTTTCATATATGCAGATCTAGTTCTGATTTCCTCACCTTTTTACGTGTTATCCCGTAAGACAAACTCCTATCTACAGAATTAAGGGATTTTATGATGACAATTGCTCTCATTACCTCTATTATACAGTAAGAGAAAAGTAAGGTACACGGAGGTACAATGACTCATCTAGTATCATCCAAGAGGCTGATGGAAAAACTGGGGAAAGAACCTGCCATTCTGAGTCCCAGGTTAATGCCCTGCCAGTGAGCCCCCACTAACTGTAGGGAACAATTAAGCATTCGTACAGCTTTAGCAGAATTGCATAGCTCTTCATTGCTTCATTCAGCCATTGCCTCCCCTATAAAATCAAAACCAAACCCAAATAGCAGACTAGAAAGGAACCAGCTATAATGAGGAAGACATGGGAGACTGGGGTGGGGAGGGGGGCATCTGAATGCTTGTTTTTTTAACAGACTCCGGTTCCTTTAAGTATCTGTGAATTTCAATATCAGAACCAAAGAAATCTTTTGGGAGGTGTTTCCTTTCTCCACTTCCAGCAGCTACTAAACCTGTGCCAAATACCGGAGGACAGAATAAAACAAAAAAGGGAAAGGACACTAGCTTTTAAGCAAGCATCTCCTATGCAATCCAATAGTCCCAAATCATTTCATATGTTACTGTCACACACTTGAATATAAATATGTCACAACTATATATTGTCATATTGGCAGCTGAAGCCTGATAACGTCGCAGATAGCTTTCCCTATGTTGTATGTGCTAGTCTGTCAGGGTAGGGTGATAGGCATTCCTAGGCACCTTGCACAATCCAGGCATTGTTGCTTTTACTATTACTGGGTATCTGCCTGGTGCAGCAGCAGATTATGCCACCTTTGACTGCAAAGGCTTTTGCTTTAAGGTTTTGTGACCTATAATTTTTGTTAATGCAGGAGAAAAAGGAGAAGGAGAGAGAAAGGAAAAATTGAGAAAAGAATGTAGTTTTGGTTCTTGGGATATTTTATATATATATTTGTATTATAATAGAACACATATATAATTTTACCTTTATGCGCTTATGCATGTGTATTTTTCTATTAGTCTATATAATTATTTAGCTGACCTGTTTAATGAAGAAAAAGAATTCCACAGTTGGGAGGGACAAATTGTATATATATGTATATATATGTATAATGGAACATAATTTCAGACCAAATCTACAAACTCAAAATTTTCTCTTAAATAGTTTTTCATGTTTAAATCTTACCTCTGCTCCATCTGTGGGTCACAGTGGCATGAGCACTGTAATAGAACAGCAGCAGCAGCAGAGTCTTCCAAAGCATCCTTCTCTTTACAATACGTATGTCTAGCTGTATAGTAGCTTTTTAATTTCCCACCTCCTTTCTTTTCAGGAATAAATAAATGGCTTTTCCTGTCCCCCCTCCCCCTTTGAAGGAGAACCTGTCTGTTCTCTGCGTACAGCTGAAGTCAGTGTGCAGCTCCTCTCCCAAACCAAGTCTCCTCGGGATCAGGAAACTTACTTTCACAGACAGACTTTGTTTTTATCCACATCTGGAATGACTCATGGTGCATGTGAGTTTGCTGGCAGCTGTGTGAATAAATATCATTACATTTTTGTAGTTGAGTTTCATTTGTTATATGGGCCAGTTGGAATTTATTTTTGTCCAATAAACAGCCACAAGTAACTTCATTAAGGACACTCTTGAATCCTAGCTCTGTAGCTACTCCCCTGTAACACAGGGGGCTATATGCTAACCCATGTCTAAGGCGAAAGCCTCCTCTGGAATGATGTACAGCTGCCCTTGGACGTTTAAGTCAGGGAAGAACATTTTGCTACTGTGATTCATATAATCACTCCTTTATTAAGAACATATAATGCCGCGCTTAGACTTCAGTTCTGCAAGACAAGTCCTGGCCTTTTCCTCCATTTGGCCAGTGCAGAGAACAGGATGGTCCAAATCCTTAACTGGCTCTCTGCAACAGTCCTACGGGGAACACTAAGCAATCCTAAGGACAATCTACAATAGCCAGGTTGAATGTGGAGAGGTGATGCTGAACAGAAAGGCTACTGATAGACGTCTCCTTGCTGACACTGGCCCCAGGGAAGACAACACTGGAAGCCTTTATCCCAGAGCGACCCAGCATGGAGGAAGCTGCAGGTATGTACCATCCCTGGCACAGCTTCATCAGCAGTGTCAGGGGATGCTTTGTGGTAATACAGTGCTGGAATAACAGCAGGTTGCTGTGTGTTGGAACAGACTGATGAAAAATAAGAACACGAGTAGTATTTAGCAGAATGAAGGGATAGGGGATACTCCATTTGGTGCCTAGAAGTGATGAGTCTAATTCCTTTCTTTTATAGGTGAGTGTAAGCCAGGAACAAATCCACAGACATCCATGTATTTACACTGGTGTAAAACTGGCACATAAGAAAGGAGACTCAAGCTCAGAAGGTATAAATAGAAGAATTAAGGGAAAGGACCAAGAGCTGGAATGACAGAAGGCACTGTGGCTCAGGATTAATGGGCACTGGCAGGAGGACATGGAGAAAACCTGTTCAGCTCCTGTCTGCCTCATACCAAAATCTGGCCTTAGCCTCAGTCCCCTCATTCTTCTCTGTCCCAGCTTCAAGTAACACCAGCTGTAAAGGAAGGAGGAGGGTCAAATAAGGTTGTCTTGCTTAAGGCAACTCCACTTCTTCTCCTTCATGTATAGATTTTCCTATGCTCAGACCGCCTCAGGTTACTCCTACACGAACAGCGCATGAATGTAAGACAGTATTTTACATACCAAGGAGATGACAAAAGGTATCATTCAAGCAGAGGGTGGCTAACTAACTCTCTTGCTATTACTCTTCTTGTTACCATAACATATTAGAGATGGGTCTGAATGCGAGGTTAAAGCTAGGAGTGAGCTCACTCAAATGTGTCTCTCTGTAAATTATGGAGCTGGAGTAAACTAGTTTTACATTCCCTAGAGAGAGAGAGAGGGACAGAGAGAGAGATGCCACAAGAGGATGATTATTCCTGCTTAGCTCAGATAAGTCACTTAGGACAGGATGAGTTGCTCTCTGGAGGAGGTGGATCCAGCCATCAGCATGGCCAACTCTGAGATGATGTGCCTCAAGATGATTTGCATCAAGAAGGTGCAAGTTGCACCATAGTAAGGAAGTAATGATCTGTCAACCGCTGAGGAAAAAACATTGTGGTATAACTCCTACTGGAAAGACTTCGACCAGTAGGGAGGGCTTGAGGAAGTACACTTTAATTTAGTAAACCACCTTAGTGAAAGCCCTCTAACTAGTGAACACAGTGGGTATAGATGGCTTCATTAACTTAACTGCATCAGCCTAGCTACCCTGGCATGACAATCTTAATGTCAGCAGGGTCTGTGAACAAGATGTTTCAAAATGAGGTAGACAAGGGAGAAGCAACACTTTGGATGCGCATTGCAGGTTTGAAAAATGAAAGAAATTCATGAGAAAACTTAAAATCCTGTGGGGTAACAAAGGAACATATTTTCAGTGGTGAAAGCTCTTCTGAAGTGCTGTATCGTTTCATTGTTTACACCTAAAGAAACAGCAGCTGATAAGAGAGGATGAAGGAGGCCAAACAGGTTCCGTCTTGCTCTAAACCAGAATCGGAACTATTTTGCAGAAAGATTTCTGCAGCATGGCTCTGCCTCCTGCTGCCAGCAATAGGACACTTCCTCTCCTCATTCATTGTCACTGCTTTATATATCCAGCCTAGAAAGGGAGAGGAGAAGAATCCCAGGAACTTCCTTCCCTAATCTATCCCTCCACCTCCAGCCTCTGGAGCAAGCACCCTAGGAGCAACAGAGGAGCAGCAGCTGAGAGAGACAGAAGAGATGTGTGATAAGGCTGGCAAACAGGTCAAAGGGATATGAGGGCATGAAATGATTACTGATGTCTCTTTTAGACCCTGGAGATGTTGCTCTGAAGCTACATTATATGTGGGGTTTTTATTATTATTTATTTCTCCTTAATCTGTGTCTGGCTACAGAATCCTCTCTAGCAGCCTTTTCCTTATCTGAGCTCAAATACAAACTCTTCCCATCTGTGGTTCAAGGCCCCACAGTGCAGTCTTCAGACGTTCCAGCTTTGACTGCCTCTCTGTGCGTACCACAACTGTAGGGCAAATTTTGCTTTAAGACTGTGAATGATGCACTCACATCTGTTTTCTTACAGGAAATGCAGCTGTAAATATAACAGGTCCATGTAAAATAAAGAACGCTTTCCCTGTGGCATCTCCTCAAGAAGTGGAAATGCTCCTTTTCCCCCTTAAAACTGGAGATCTTTTTCTCTCCCATATGGATGTATATACACAGAGAGCCATATCCTCCCTATTAAAAAAACCTCCAGATGAAGCCAGGAAATCAATCTTTCAAGCATGCTCAGGGCGCTTCAACTATACAGCTTCTATTCATCTCATGACTATATTTTATTAGATAGTTGCTCAGTTTCAGCTCAAGGCAGTTTCTGCCTATGCTGGAGGTTTGAATCACTGCAACTATAATGAATGCCAAAGCGGGTTAGAAATCCTCACTATTTATAAATATTAAATGCTCCTAGATTGCTTTGGAAGCATCAAGCAGAAGAGCTTTATGGTGAAGAATTAATCATGAAGATGCCTCTGGTCGGAGAGGGTACTATGCTGCTGAAGCCAAGAGGCTGAAAGCTGGTCTGGCAGCTGGTCGATATTCAGGTCTCAAATCTGTGTAGTGCTAGACACTGTCACAGTCATGTTAAGGTGAATATTTATGTTTTGCCAGTTCTCATAAATCTAGGTGTTGGAGCTGCAAGTCCTCCAGTGATCCCAGCATCTGTGAGACCTTTCAGGCACAGGAAAGGTGTGACTGACTGCTGCCTCTGGCAGGCTGTTTGAGGTGAAAATAGACATTTATGCAACTGTCAGCGATATGACTAGATACCAAGAGATCAGCTTTTCCGTTTGATTCCTCCATCCTGATGCTGTCAGTGAGTGTCTGTAGATACTGCTACTCCCACACAGTCTTTTTAAGAAACCTGGAAATAGGGCAGGGAGGAAAGGAGTGAGCAAAGCCCAAACAGGGAAGCTGCCAGCTGCCTTTTTGTGGCCCATGCACAGTGAGAGCAGAGAGCTGGTAATGGTACTCCAAAGCTGTCCTTCCTTCCCATCACAGATGCTGTCATGGTGAAAGGACAACTTCAGCAGGCCGGGAGTGTAGAAACGGTGTATTTCCCAGGGGATGTTCTGGAGTGACCAGTGCTTCAGGTGAGGTGCCTCTGTGTCCTCTTTAGTAGCTCAAAATAACTTATAATATAAAAGAGAATAGAAGGGGAAACAAGGCAACGGATGATCCAAGATCAGCAGCCTGTGGGTCTTCCAAGAAAAATAGTCTCTTTTTCACTGGAGAGTATCAGCTCATGATGTCAGTTCAGCTTTGTCTTTGATGAGCTTCTGCCAAACCCAAGGCGGGGTTCCAGTCTGCCCCGACACCTCAGTCACTGTAAGAGTCCCTCGCAAATCTTCTATCAAACAGACAGACATTTTTTACATTTGCCCTGGTTCAATTTGAAAACAGAGTGTGCGTGGGGAGGAATTTCCTCTGAACCAGAAACTCTGCTCTGCAGCCAGAGCCGTGCCCTGCTCCATAGGCCATGCAGCATCTGCCTGCTAGTATGCCAGCACAGTGGAACAATATCGATGCACGACACAGACGTTTGTCTCCTTCCCACCATAGAGATGGATAAATGGAGACATACACACAAAGTGACTCACTCACTGAATGAATTGATGGTAGAGCTGGGGCTAGAAACCAAGAGCTGATCCATTCCTCCACCCAAAATACAAGGCCCCGATCTGGCACTGCAGCAGCTCATACAGCACCAGTGCCATCAACCAAAAAGAGAAAGTAGCTTCCACAAGAGGCCAAGAAGTACCTCATAACTAGGAGCAGAAAGAGAGGAAAAAAAAAAAAAACATAGCTGTACACAAGCTCCCAGAAGAAGAAAAGAAGTTCTATCGAAACTGGACTCCCGGCATTTGAACCTCATTATCCATGATGACCCTTGCTGGCCCCTCAGCTGAGGTTGCAGCTTCCTGCAGCAACAATTTGGATGGCAGAATCTCACCGAACCCCAAAGCAACAGCAGCCAGGATGAACCTTACATAGCCATACAGTGCAATGGAGTTGTAAGTTGGAAGGGACTTTGAGGCATCTTTTTGAGGCACCTTCTGCCCCAGAGCTCCCTTGCTACCTTGATCTAGCTGCCTGAGCTCACATTCACAAGAGCACTTAGATGCTGAGCTGATACTTTACAGATCTACATTTAAGTAACCAAAATTTAAATTCTGCCCATGCAGCTTTGCAGATACCTGAATTTCTTGCGTGCCTAAGCTTCCCCTGTGAGGCTCCTTAAAT